ACAAAGATGATTTCCCTGAAACATACACAGATGCAAAGTTCTTTGTCATTAAATCATACAGCGAGGATGATGTTCACAAAAGCATTAAATACGGTGTATGGGCAAGCACACCCAATGGTAACAAAAAACTGGATGCAGCTTACAGAGAAGCTGAGAAGTCTGGGGGATGTCCTGTTTTTCTGCTGTTTTCTGTAAGTATCATCTTTGCACCTTTGCAAATAGGCAAGTCCATCTAGTGGCAACCTTTGGGAGTATTAGTTAGTTTCCTTTGTGGTGTTTTACAGGTCAATGCAAGTGGGCAGTTTGTTGGTCTTGCAGAGATGATTGGTCCAGTTGACTTTGATAAAACTGTTGAGTATTGGCAGCAGGACAAGTGGAATGGTTGCTTTCCAGTGAAGTGGCATATTGTGAAAGATGTTCCTAATAACATTTTGAGGCACATTACATTGGAAAACAATGAAAATAAACCTGTAACCAACAGCCGAGATACTCAGGAGGTGTGTGATAGTCCCATCCCCTGTGCTACAAATTTCTAATTTATGCTTCTCTGGCTGAATTATTGACATCTTCCGATGCTGCAGGTAAAATCTGAGCTGGGTCTTCAAATACTTAAAATATTCAAGACACATTCCAGCAAGACTTGCATTCTAGATGACTTTGATTTCTATGAGGGGCGTCAGAAGATAATGCAAGAGAAGAAAGCTAAACAACGTCAGCTGAATAAACAGGTATATTGATCTTTTTCTTTAGACTTGATTTATCTTCTTTTCTTATTCGTTTTATTTGTTGCATAGTTCCTTGATTCAACGATTGGTAGAGATAAAAATGCATTAAGCTGCTAAGAGGGTGCTTGAACATTCTTTTTGGAATGCTTCTGGAAAGGCTTTCCAGATATATGGGACACTTTGGGAAACTAATTGTGTTTGGATAGCTTCTATCTCAGTTAAGTTGGTTGTTTTCACCTAAAAACAGCTCTTGGCTTTAAAGAAAATCTGTCCCAACACTGGCCTATGCTTGCTTGGTGTTTGATGAGAGGATATAGAGTTGGGATTTTGTTCCGCATAATTGGTTGGACGGACAAAAAGAGGATTTGATTGCTTGCAACAAAAAATTCCCTGTTTAACGTTCCACAATTCATTCCCTGCAAACCTTACCATTTGTCCTTTTTTCATTTTCTTTTTAATTTGAAGATTTTTCCTAAGCCTTTAAATTAACCGACATTATCTTTACTGATGGAGCCGTCCTTACCTTGTCACTTAATTGTCCCGAGACTAGTCAAACTATTTATAGTCTTGTTGTATAGTATCTGCAGATCTTGTCCAGAGGACCAAACCGGACCTGATTGTGCTGATTATAGTTTGTAAATAGTTAGATTTGGGTTGGCAGCACAACAGCTGTTTTCTGTTGGATCTAAAATAGAGTTGTAAACATTACCTTAACCTTATCTTTTTTTTAAAAAGAGTTGTGACCGATTTTCCATAAAAGTTCCATGGTGCATAGTTAACCAATACAATACCACAATATTAGATGGTAATATTTCACCAACTTATGTAAAAAGATAATATTTCTCCAACCCTTATACACACACACATACATTTCCAATCCCAATACTTTCAGGTATGTAAAGTTTAACATAGATAGGAACTGTGGTGAAATGACGATTGCTCATCCGAAAATAATAAGTTAAAACACCTCCAGGGTCCAGTGGATAGGGTGTGTGTGTTTGGTGAATTGCATGATTTCAGGAGATTCTACTTTATGATGAAGAGAGAGGAGGAGGGTGACTGAGTGGCCGGGAAGCTGGGAACTTGCTAGAGGGAGCATGGGGATTTTCACGTAGTTGCTTTGGTCTAGAGTTACATGAATGTCCATTTAAAATATATTTGTATCTCTGATTTTTGTTTAAACTTGCGAAATTTGTATTATGTCCATGTAAAATAGGAAAATTTGTTATATAAATAAATACTCTCTCTCTCTCTCTCTCTCTCTCTCTCTCTCTCTGTGTGTGTGTGTGTGTGTGTGTGTATAGATTGAGATAGAAGTTCTGAATGAATGGTGGGACGACAAGAGCTTGCTGGAGGGAGGACGGCGCTATAAACAAGTTGCTTTGTTTTGGATTTATATTAATGCCAGCTTGAAATGTATTTGATTCTCTGGTGTTGGTTTGAAACCACCAAACTCTAGTTATGTCCATGCATATTTTTTCCAGAATCCAAGTTACTGAACTGTGTTATAGATGTAGGTGGACTGGTTGGGATAGTTTGCACTGTGTTGATACCATACCTGACCTTTTTTTATCAGGCAAAAGTCGGATTTCATTACTTTGCATCCATTGAAACAATACCTGACTTTTTTTGACAAGCCAGTGCTGTTGATCCAAGGGGGACAACCCCTGGGATTCAAGAACTATCCGAGTACTATGCAAGAAGTTTAGTTTCCATCTAATCATTTATATAGATTGTAAATCCTATTTGCTCCAAAACTACACGAAAAATTGCAGACCATCTCAATATCAGTGAAAGCAGTATATACCACATCTAATGATCTGCCGATTGTCCAAAAAACACAGTGATGATCCTGCTTGTTCTATGTCCCATCACCAATTTTTTCAGCATGTTCACGATCAAATCCCATGTCATGCGGTGTGACCAAGTGTCCCACTTATTCCTAGTACTAGTATGATACACATTGCACCAGCCAATGTCAATTTGTCTTTTCTCTTGGGATTTTAACGGTTAAGAGTTCCATGCAGCTGGCCAATCAAAAAAAGGAAGTGGAGAAGCCACCTTATTGGGCACTCAGTGGTCCAGATTGCTTTACCTTCTTGTCCTTTCCAACAAAATCTTGTAAAAGGATCTTATTGTGAATATACCATTATAGCCCTCCTGTCCCATCCATATCCCTGCACCATCAGCAGTTGATTGACACACATAGAGCTGTCGTAAATCCCCGACCTCCCCTGCCAAGCGTTACGCTGCTTCAGTTCTTGGTCCGAGAAATTGTGCCTACTCCATTTTGATGCATTACACCAACGTAAAAGTTGCAAATATTCTTTTATTTAGGTAATTACTGCATGTCATTTCTTCGACACAGGGTTAATTTTGGGTTAGTGATTGTGTCTTTGATATTTCAGGTTGGAAATGTTAATCAATCTGCTGCTTCGACCCAAATAACTGAGCAAGACAGGCCAGTAGATAAAGAATGGTCAAAAATACCTGCTTCATCTGGGGGTTCCGCTGTTCTACCCAGATCTGAAGATGGGGAACTGAAGCCATCTGAAGAAATAGGATCAACCACAGCTGCCAAAGATCAACCAAATGTTAAAGACAATGAAGTCTTATTGAATGGAACTGGAAGTGCTTGCTGAGTGTTTTCTTTTACTTTTCTCTTTTTCTCTCTTCGTGGGCTCGTTCCTTTACTTTGGTTTATGCGAAGCTTTTTACCGGATCTCATTAGCATAGCAGAAGGTTTTGTTTTTTGTCACATGCAATATGTTTTCTTTTACTAGGATGGTAATAAAACAAGTAGCTCAAAACTTTCTTTATTGGCAGCTAGAAGCTTGGATTCCTTTGAGAATTGCAATTACTTAGTGGATTTCATATCTTCTTGGTCTTTTATTTTTGGTTTTTTAGTTTTTGGCCTAGACTGAGCTTTTATTAAACGATCTTGTATTTCCCTCTTTTTTTGTTAAATTTGTTGAGGTTTTGTTCATGTGTTCTTGTTATGATGAGTGAGTCAAGGTTTTTTTATTGATTTGCAACTATGGATACGCATTCATGAGTGTATGACATGTGAGTTTTGTTAACTGGGCATCTTTAGGTAATATCGACATCAATAGGAAAAGCTGTTGACAGACTAGCATTTTATTTAACCAACATAGAGATGGGAAATCCTTGATGACATTTTGTCAATCAGTTTATAACCTCAATCTAATAGAGGTTTATTATATGAATCATCTGTGACAGTTGCTCCATTGAGTCATTTCTATACTAAATTTTGTTTAAGAAAACCACTTGAAATTTCAAAATCAGTGAACCATTTGAAGTTAATTTGAGTTATAATTACCCTATTACTAATATTTTGTGAGCGGTGTTGATTTAAAGATGATTGGATATGGTCCAATGTAGTAATGATCAGTCATCTTAACTAACCGAAATCAATTAGCAGTATGTTTCCTGAAATTAAGTAAACATAACTATTTATGATAGTAGCCATTGTCATACTAGCAAGACATGACAGTTATATCCAAACACTTGTAAAAGAAAGGTGTAAAAATGACAGTACCACTTGACCTTAAGTTAAAGGAAGTCAATAGTATAACTTTTCAATTAGCGAGAGTAGTAGATGTGCTATTAAATCATGGGTAAAGTTGCATACAGACCTAAATGTTGCTAGGACTAGTTGCATCGTTTCTTCAATTTCTTTTAACTTTTTGGTGAAATTTCAACCATGTGATACAAGATGGAGAGGCAACCAATAGCGACCTTCAAATTATGGTTCTACGCATTGAACTTTCCCTAAGAAAAAGAGAAATAGAAAATACCTCCAATTCACATTCATATGTTCAGCTTATGCAGTGTAATAAGCTTTATCAAAAAATTAAGGAAGTTTTTGTGAATCTATAAAGGTACAATTTTCACGTTGCATACGGAAGTTTTGGAAAGTCTTGGTCATTGAAAATATTGTGCTATATTTTTTTAATAAATAGGTGGAATGAACAATTTGTTACTCCCTCCGTTTCAAATCAGACGATGTAATTTCCTTTTTAGTCGGCTCCAAAATAAACGACACACTTTTAAATTTGGAAATAATTCAACTTTAAACTCTTCATTTTATGCTTAATGATGATCTTTTATAACCACACAAATGTTATGGACCCACAAGTTTTTACCCTTTAAGCTTTTAATATCACAAATTTCAAAAAAAAAAACGTATGGAAAAAAAAAAAAACGGGGGTAGGAAAATGTCTTATTTGGGCTTAGTGGTCGCTGTAACAGAATGTGCCAAAGTTAGTTTTTGGGGAAAGAAAGGAGGAGGTGGAGATAGGCCTTAGCCACTATGCACTCACTGCTCTCTGTGTTTGTGGAAGCTAAGCTCCCATAAACTCTTTCTTGTTCTTTCTTTGTTTCTCTTGTTGCTGGTTAAGAATGGCTGGAGCTCTTTTATCTCTTTCTCTGCCTAAGCTCAATGTAACTAAAGCTTCAACTGCAGCTAACACCACAACTAGTTTAGAAGAGAAATTCGGTCGTAAAGGCATAAAATTTTGTGAGTCTGAAGGGACAGTTGAGCTGAGTGTTAGAAATGGAAGCTCAGTGAAGCTACAGATACCCAATGCCCATATAACTTCTTACAAGCCTAAAGTTTATTGGAAAGATGATGGTTTTGAGGAAGTCCTTTATACCCTTCCTCCTTCTTCCTCTTTTTCTTCTAATTCTAGAGGTGGCATTGCTCTGGTAATCAATGAAATCTTGGATCCTAAATTGTCAACAACACCACCCAAAGCTTCTTCTGAGTGGACTGTCACAGATGTTGATTCTGACTCTATTGATGCTCTCCAGGTCAGTTACTACTCAGTTTTCACTACTCTTTCATTCAATTGTTTCTTGACTGAATGATCATCAAAATTACTTAAATGTCCATCATTGCAATATATGTTGGTAGGATAAGAACCATGATATCAATTTAACTTTCTTGAATTTGGAAAAAGCAAACCAAATCTTACCAGTAGCTATGAGAATATGTTGTGTTCAGAAAGTAGCTTTCCCTTTCACAAAGAAATATACTATCTTTCTTGTTTTGCTATTTTTCTTAATTTCTCAAAAAGGGGATGTTGTACGGAAGCCCTAGTCAGAAGGTGCGAGAGGTTAGCCTCAGTGGGTATCAGGAGGGGTAGAGCTAGGCCTAAGAAGTCTTCGGGCGAGGTTATTCGGCGGGACATGGTGTAGCTGGAGTTGACTGAGGACATGGCCCTAGATAAGAGCGTGTGGAGGTCGAGGATTAGGGTAGAAGGCTAGTAGGTAGTCGAGCGTAGCTCTTTGTCTTTCCCAATTCGCTAGCATTAATGTTAGTATGATATCCTTTTATTCATAGATTGCTATTATTACCTGGAGTTTAATTGCTTTCTTGGCTTCAGTATTTTTATCTTGTTGTTATTCCTTCTTCTTGACGTCTCGTTGCCATTACTTTTGTCATCCGTTCTCCGGAGCCGAGCGTCTATCGAAAACAACCTCTCTGTCCTTCTAGGATAGGGGTAAGGCTGCGTACATCCCACCCTCCCCAAACCCCACTTGTGGGAAAATAGTGGGCTTGTTGTTGTTGTTGTTCTCAAAAAGGGGATGCAGCTGCATAACTGTGACAGACACTATGTACTAAAAATTTCAGGTTGAATTGAGCTGCAGCAGAGGGAGTCTTGATATTAACTATGTGGTGTCACTCTATCCACTGAGCATGGCAACAGCAGTTATAGTGAAGAACAATGGCCGCAAGCCTGTCAAGTTAACGAGTGCTATACTAAGCCATTTGAAGTCTAAGACAAGAGGGGGTACAGGAATACAAGGACTCCGCAGCTGCACTTATTGCACACATCCTCCTTTGCCTTCTCCCTTTGAAATTTTATCTCCAGGGGAAGCTATGAAAACTGAGGAGCCTGGTTTATTCTCGTTTGGTTGGGAGCCCGAATTGAAGCCGGGAATATGGTCTGCTCAAGATGTTCCCATCACTGTATTGAAGCACAAGCTCAGTAGACTTTACAGTGTTCCACCAGAAGAAAGAGCAAAAGAATTTTATAATTCAATACCTTCAAAATATGAAACAATTGATCAGGTATATCACATTCAAAACAAAAGACTACTCTCCTAGTGGATAGGTTATCATGCTTGCCGTTTCTGTTATTAATGGCGCGCTTTATAACTCATTGTTTGGTGGGATAACAATGTCCACTTAGTTTGTACTGACGTCTTGGATCTAATTCAACCCAAAAAAGTTGTTATAATTTCAAGATGGAGAGATATCATTTGATCTCTAGGTATTGCCATTTCCAGGACAAATTTCTCATACGTTTTCGCACTAACATGTTTTTTTCCCCAGGGCCGTGAGCTCTTCTTCAGGATAATACGTATGGGGTTTGAAGATATTTACTTATCAAGTCCGGGTTCATTTTCGGACAAGTATGGGAAGGAATACTTTATCTGCACAGGCCCTGCTTCAATGTTGGTTCCTCTTGTTGTGAATCCTGGTGAAGAGTGGAGAGGAGCACAAGTTATTGAGCATGATAATTTATAGTTTGAAACTGGAGTACATATTTTCTTTTTACAAGCTTTATGTACCTCTTCATTTCTTTATCAAGAAACTGTAATATTATGCAATATCAAATGTACTTAGTTGAATATAATTGAAAATTCCCTTTTTGTATCCTCCTCCTAAAGCCTAACTGTAGTTATCAATATTATGCAATATCAAATGTTCATTTCCTTGCTTTTAACAGTTTAATCCTCCAAGCAAATGATTGTTAACAAGCAGAAAATGGTTGAGCTAGAGATACATTCTTTAAACTGCAGCAATTAAAAAGATAAGCTTAGACATGTTAATAGAATAGCAAGTTACATCCATAAATCCTATCCTGAAAAGAGAAAAATGAAAGAGCAAAAGGTAGGACCACCACCCAAAATATCATATAAAAAAGGGAGCATAATCCACACACTGTTTCAAATGTTCAACCTTAGCCAACCAAAAGTTATTGTGAATTATCATATCATGGAACAAGGATAATAAAACTCAGTCGTCTACTAAAACACCTCACCCCATTCTTTCTTCTTCTTCTGGCATGGCTACCATTAACACTTGTCTCCTCTCTCCAAATATAATCTCAGCTTCTCCAATTTCTAGATCAGTGAGCAAATCCATATTTCCTCCTCATCTCTGCAGTCCCCTCCAGTACACTAGCTTAACAAGAAATATTCAATTGCCAGGGGTAGCTTCCATCTCATACCCGCCCATCGACACGGAATACTTGGAAAGTGAGTTCAGTGGACATGGAGTTACCTTCACAGGAGTTAATGACAGCTGTGTTGTCCGCATGGCGTTGGAGAACGGAAGTATAGCTAACTTGATGCTTCCAAGTGGTTTGATCACATCATACAAAGCTCAAATGTGGCATGGAGGCACATTGGAGTTGTTGCATACCACTGTCTCACAAGGACAGAATGGTTCACCAGTCATTGAAGGAGGAGTTTCACTAGCCTGCATTTGCGACAACGATCATGGTCTTTCATGGTCTCCAAGTTCTTGGGCTCTTCATCAAGTTATAGGAGATCCTCAAGAATCTATTCAGGTACCTTTGGATCCTACTATGAGATTAGCTCTCTTTCATTTGTGGTTACACTAACACGTCCGAGTTGGAATTGCAGGTGGAATTGATTTGTACAAGTTCAGATGGAAAGATTGAAGCTAAGTATATGGTTACTTTGCAACAAGATGTTTTAACTTCAGAGATTAAAGTCTTTAATTTAGGTAAGTCACGCCTCCGAATGATGGGTTCAGTTCTTAGCCATCTTACAGTAAGCACACCAGAAGCCAGTTATGCAGTCGGATTGGAAGGTTCAGATTTCTTCAACAAACCTCCATTTTTGGCTAACTTCAGCATCCTTCCTCCTGGCTTTGGGAAGAAAAAGAATCAGGCTTCTAAAAGACTTTGGGATCCTAAATCAATTGGGGGAATATTCTCCAGCTGGGGTACAAATGAGACAATTGCAAGAGAAACAGAACAAGAGTTGGAGGGTGAAGAAACTGACAACTACAAGCATTTGACTGAGGAAATGAGCAAAATTTATCAAAGTGCACCTAGGAACTTCACACTCATTGATCGGGTAAAGTGTCTTTATGGGCATTAAGTCATATAGCTGCTAATTTATTCTTGACATTTGATAATTACTCATGAACAGGGAAGACGAAACTCAGTGGTAGTAGGACGGGACGGGTTCAAAGAAGTGTACATGCTGAGTCCTGGCTCCAGTCATGAAAGTTATGGAAGATATTCATATATATGTGTTGGGCAAGCAGCTTTGCTTCAACCAATAATCATCGAATCGCAGAGTGAATGGAGAGGTAAACAAAGTTTGCATAACCCAAATATGTGAATTTCTGAACCAGCAGATGAACTTATTTTCACACAGAATGGAGCTCTCATTAGTGACTAAACAAGTCAACAGATGGAAGACAACACTATCACAAGACAAACAGATACAATTGGTTTGAAATACCATTTGATTGTTAGAAGGAGAGCTCTGTTTTCCTGTTGCCCATGTTTTCCCTCGTTAACTTGGCTACAACTTGTAGATATAATTTCATTCATCAATTTACTCAACAAGCTATAGAGATCAAATTCATTTTAAATTGACAATGCATGATGAAATGGCAATATCTTTCTCAAAAAACAAGCCTTCAATTAGCTTCATATTAGCATCTGAAAATCAATTCGGATGATAGGATACTAGTTCTGTAACAAAGTACATTAATCCTCAATGAGAAAATTAAGATACTGAAGGTCCTATCTAGCACCCACTGTCTAAGAGTGGGATGTATTACAAAAGACCAACTACATATCTAGGTGGGAATCAGATTGTCGCTTTGGTCTTTCTCCCCTATCCACAACAAAAGTATGAAGGCTGCCAAAAGTACAACTAAGATACCAAAGAACAATATGCGAGCAGAAGCATAGCCTTTGTGGTGAATGACACCTTGCGATTCTGTTCCATTTCGGGCAATGTCGTCTGAAGATACTTGCAAATCCCCATCAGCTTGAGCATTATCTGTTGAAGATACTGATTCTGAGTTTAGATAGCATTGTTTATCATCATTAGATATTGTCCCATCTCTATCCTCGCATCTTTTACGATTGAAGAGGCCATTTTCTTCGGACCTTGCTGGACTGTGTTCACATCTGCACAAGGAAGGGCTCCTAAACCTTCTTGTTTTCCTCTCAGAAAAGTTCACATCATTGGCATCCTGAAGGAGATGAATAAGTTTTCTTGGCGTCGCAAAGATCTTCACACTTTCGACATTAACATGAGAACGTGACCTCTGAAGCACAAAACAAGCAATGTGAACAATACTGTGATATTTTCAACTTCATATCTTGATATTTACTGATAACAAGCCAAACTAGGGGCTCAATTTCAAATAATGCATTTCATAGCAAGCTCGAAGAAATCCAATGCTTCTTTGGAACAAGCACAGTATCATTTAATTTTGTCAAACAAACTGTCATCTGAACTATGATGTTCAAAATTTCATTGTACTATTCAGTTCAAAGACATATAGATGCAATTTTGATATTTCATACATCCAACATAAGAGAAACCATGAAACATCTATTGAACAGCAAAGTATTTAAAGCTAATATGAACTTGATCATTTATTCTTTTAAGTTGTTTTATATTTCCCTTCAGAACTATACCAAGTTTCAACTTACTACTCCCTCCAGCTCATATTATGTGAGACAATTGACTGAGCAAAGAGTTGAGAAGTTCAATTTGAATTGGGTATCTTTTTAATATTCATGGGATAAAATGTTAAAAATTGTACAATTGACAAGTTGTTTGATACAAAATCATCACATCACAGCTTAAATTTGGTCTATTAAATGAATTTCAAAATTTTGAATTATGAAAGTTCATAAAATAAATATTATTAGTGGAATATTGACAAAAATTAGATTATAATTGTTGCAACCCTATCCTTGATAAATTTCCAACCAAAGTTATCCATCAGAAATGTAGCATATGACTAATGCAGAACTATTCCCCGAGTGAAAACGCCACACTTGTTCTGGAAAAGAAAGTACAGAAACCAAAAACAGTTGACATCTTCTAGAATATTTTACAATCTCTATTCAGTTCTTTGCACAGACCATAGTAATCATGTATCAAAAATTTTACTTCTAAGATTGTTCTTTAAGTAGTTTTGTTGCACATCCACTAGAGGGAACCCATTGATTCTGTTTATTCCTTTAATGCGCTCTACATCTCAAATAACCGAATAGTAATTTTCTCTACTTTATAAATGCATGAGGTACTTAACTTTTAACTCCAAAATACTCCCCGCTATTTTCATAAATTATTTGCTGGTTAGAAATAACACTATATAAACTATGCAAAGAACAGTAGGCAACAACATGTTTTACCTGAGGACTGGGAGTAGCACTTCTGACAAAACCATTTCGAGCAGATCCTGGCAAAAATCCAGCAAACACAGCAGTGTTATCTCCAAAATCGTTATGAACCTCAGAGTGTGTGACGCCATTTCCATGGGTGAATTCAGAGAAGATGCCATCCTTTAGAGACACATCTACACCACCATTTCCACTCCTCCTCCAAAGTTTTCGGTTCACACTCCTTCTATCGTTACCCTGATTTATTGAAAGAGGGGAGTCAATGAATGGTTCATAGTCAACAAACGAGTTAACTGTGTGTGATTCTGGTGATGCAGTTAAAGGTGATTGGTCACCGGAGCTCCATATAATGTTCCCTCTACTGTCAAAGTTGGATCCAGTCGTTGAATCCACATCTCTCTCGAATTTTGGACCCTTCTCAGAACATATTTTCTTTGCAGTCTGTAATGCTTCAAATGCAGCCCCTCTAACATAAAGCATCTTATCAGATTGACATTTTTCCATCTCCTCAATAACCATTCTAAGCTCAGAATGTATGCTTCTTTGATCCAAATGCTTCATCAAAGAATTGACCATATGAATGGCAGACAATCTTTTTTGAGAAACTCCTTCACCGCTGCTACTATTTATAATTTGTAATCCAGATTGTATCAACAATCTTGCATAAGCTTCCATGATTAAGCTATTATGTTTGGCTAAAGAAGTGACTAGAGCCATATGAGAATTGGTTTGAGTATGCTTCTCCAAAGCACCGGCAACTCTTTGACAAACCTCATGAACCATCTCATTTGAAGCAACACGCCAATTATCAGAATCCACAAGAGCCTTTAGGCAGAGAGCAGCTCCAGAAGATAAACTCTCCTGACTCCCGAGAAGACAATCTGAGAGGGGCTTAGAGAGGGAGTGTATAATGTATCTCTTCTTTTCCTCGGGTGTAGTTGGGTCCATACCATACCTTGCAATGGCTGGAACAACTTTTGAACAAGCTTGGTGAAGAGCAAAAGAACCGGCACTGCATGTAAGGGTCTTGATAATAGTGCTCATGATGTTATCAATTTGAGGAACAATTTTCGGCCCATGTACACGGGCAAGTACCTCATAGAGTGAAATTGTGTATTCACCGGATGAAGCATTGGATTCTTTAGTTTCAGAAACCTGAGCAAGAAAGAGAGGGATTGCCTTGGAATCTAGCTCTTTCACATATGACTTCAATGCTTTCATTGCACATTTTCTACTCTCAGCATCCTTGTCCAAATTCTCCAGTTGTCTTCTAAGTATTGGGCTTAGACTTCTCCCCATCTCTTACCTGCATCCAAGAAACCATGCTAATATTTAGACAAACCACAAAATCCCGGGAAAAAAAAAGATAGACATTGTTCTTTTTTTTTTTACAAAAAATTACAACAACAAGAACAACAATAGCAACCCAGTGAATCTCACAAGTGGGGTATGGGGAGAGTAGGGTGTACGCAAACCTTACCCCTACTCCGAAAGAGTAGAGAGGCTGTTTCCGAAAGACCCTCGGCACAATAAGATGAAAACGTGACAGTGTAGCAGTAACAACAAAGGAATTCAAAAAGATAACTCCAGCAAATTATTCACTGGCTATACTGAACTTAATCCACCAAATCTTATAGATTTGAACAAACTGAATGCTTCTGCTTAAAAGCCCAATAAAATCATTTTCTAAGAGAAAACAAAAACAAGCGCCCCAATTTGATACCAAGATATCCAAGAAACATACAGGTCTATCCAAATTAAATCTTTTCTATAACAAAACACATAAAACAGAAACACAAACTTAGGTCATCTTGCTCTTAGAGTTAAAAGGAGACTTATAAAAATAAAATCTTCATTCAAGAACTCAAAATAGCCAAATGGGTGACCCAAAAAGAAGCATACCTTCTCTTCAGTCAAAGATGAGTCCTTTCAGATTCTTACTGCAGCAACAAGATCAATATCTCTAACTTTTCTTCTAAAGCAGGAACACTAAGGTATTCTTGAAATGGAAAATAAATCTTGAATACATCTCAGTGATAATATACGAGTAATGACAAGTGTGAACACAGAATTGTATACACGTTAAGTCATTGTAATTGTAATTAAAGAGAAAAAGTAGTAAGGCAATACTACTACTATACTCAAATATATTGCCTTAATTTGGATTTGCTCCGCGTTTTTGGTGGTGCGTTGTCTTAATTAGTTCACCTATCCAAATATATTTTGAGGGGTACCCTTAAATTTTGAATTTTCGACCTTAATTCCCCCGCTGCCCTTCACCCCGCCAGCTGTATTTGAGTTTTCATCTTCAATCAATATTGCTTTGACGAAATTACCCCTCCAAAATAATTATTGTGATATAATGGGCGTTTGGACATAAGAATTGTAAAATTCCAAAAGAAAATTCAAGTGAAAATGGTATTTGAAAATTAGAGTTGTGTTTGGACATTAATATAATTTTGGGTTGTTTTTGAAGTAATTTTGCAAGTGATCTGAGTGAAAATTTTGAAGAACAGTTTTTTGAAATTTTTCAAATTTTCGAAAAATTCTAAAATACATCTTCAAGTGAAAATTGAAAATTTTATGGCCAAACACTGATTTTAAAAAAAAAAGTGAACATCTTTCGGAAAAAAGTGAAAAAATTTCTCAGGAAATGTACAAAAAAATCCAACAATGAAAATGTTTTGTGCCTTAAAAAGTCCAAGGCTAAGGGTTTGGTTAGTGTTATGCCAATGGTGTTAAGAGTACGTGGGAGGTCTTGGGAAAGCTTAATGACCTATAAAACTAGGACAAGCTATCGTTTCTAGTGAAGAAAATCGGGGCTAGATTGATATTTTCACCATTGATTTAGTTCCTTTATAAGTGTTACGTTATTAAATTTTGAAAATAGACTTAAATTTTTACATACATAAAGAACTTTACAATTTTACTTGGTTGTAATGAGTTACAATTTTACTTCATTATCTCTAAAAAGTATATCTTTCTTGTCAAGTTCATATGTAAGTGTTACAATGAATACTGGAAATACAAAAAGAAGACAAGTATTTATCGAGTCATATCAACGACCAAATGTAAGGGGAGACTTTGAGAAAGGGTAATGTAGTATTTTCGGAGTAAGACTTGAAAAGTAATGATAGAGAGCTCAAGTGCTTTTGTTTCCCGCGCGTGAAATATTGAAATAGATTTTGTCTTCTCCTCTTCAGACCAAATGCTTTGGCAGATAACAAAACAAAAAGGCTAATGACAATAGCAGGGAAGGGGCCATCACTCCACTCTTTAAAAGTCTTTCTTCTTCTACTTCCTCTAATTTTTCACCTTTATAATATCAAGAACGATAAATTACAACAATTTTTTAAGTGCTGACCATTTTGGTTTTCGTTAAAAAACGCATTATTAATTAATACTGTAACATCATATTGCATACTTACAAATTTTACTTATTATAGGATCCTATTTTTTATGGATTTATTACATATATGTCACGATTCAAAATTTTGACCATCAGATTGTGATGGGGTCTAATATATGTTTGCTATGCAAGCCAACATTAGTACAATAACCAAAGCAGTATAATAATAAAAGAAGCATTTATAATAATTAAAATGTGAAATAGCATAAAAGAATAATAAGTGTACAACCAACATTGTCTAAGACTATCCCCCAGAAACTGGTGTCATGAGTACATGAGCTACTAGAATACTTCATATAATATCTGAAATGAAATTTAAAGCTATCCGATACAAGATTAACAACAGAAAAGATATGAAGGGGACTCCAGGGTCTGCGATCGTGAAGCAACACTACCTTAAGTCTCCTAGGAGAAGAAGGTCCGAGCAATCACCTCTGAACGCCGCTGGGACCAACACCGGAACCTGCACAAGAAGTACAGAAGTGTAATATGAGTACAACCGATCCCATGTACTTAGTAAGTATCGAGTACCAATCCTGTTGAACCAAAGCCTCAGGCAATGCAGCTTCCGGATGCAACTCTATGACCTGAGTACTCAGATCTTCGTCTGCGGGCACAATCTGATACCGTCCTAATTGTCTCAAGACCCTCTGTGGGGCGTATGGCTGAATACTCCTTACACCCATTATCCTCAGGTAGCCTTTGGTTGCAGTCATGTATATAGCCTCCGTCTTTGGGAGCCATCCTATGGACCACTCAATTTGACTTGCTTTGAGAGCTTTCAAATGCGACACCCATGCTTCAAACCCTTCCGGCACATTGTAATCCTTGACCCTCTCTTCATAACTGGTGATGAAGTTATTTGGACTCGATCCATAGCTCATGAATCTGGGGTGGTGGCGAAGATGCTCAATCATCCACATTTGTAGGAGGATATTACAACCTTCGAAAAAGTGGGCCCCGGCTTTGCACGAAGTCAAGGCACGATAAATATCCGCCAATATCAACGGGACAAGTGTATGATCTTTCATTTGTGCAATTCTAGCCATACGAATATCCACTGTTCCCTTATTGTTTGGAAAGACCATTGTCCCCAAAAATGCCACGATAAATGCAAACCGGCGATGAAGCTGCCAAAGACCCTTATTTTGTTTGTTGCACAACCCCTTTTCATGTGCTTCAAAACCAGAAGAGTGTCCAAACCTAAAGTATAAAAAGTGGAAAGCACAACACCCTTCGCTTACACGGTTCTTGCTTGTCTGTTTACTGATATTCAGGAGGTCAAAAAACTTGTACACCGACGGAGCCCTGGGAAATATGAGTTGTTGCTTCCTCAAATCTCGTCCAAACTTAATGTACCCGGCTATCTCCTCCAAAGTAGGGGTAATCTCAAAATCTGAGAAGCAAAAAATATTACGAGCAGGGTCCCAGAAAGTTATCATGGCCTTGATCAGATCGTCTCGTGGTTTGACCTCCCAAACGTCTATAAGAGCGCCTAATTGTTGTCTTACCATTTCTGACCTTCCTGATCCAAATCATTCCACCACATGCGCAAGTGTACCCGAGCCTGCTCCCTGACCACTTTCGGTGGATCCTGGATAATATTCATTTTGTTCCTGTAGAAAGGCTGGGTTAGGGTTGACTCTAATGGACCTTTTGAAAGAAAGTTTTCTAGTAAAAGACTATGATCCCTTCTTTGATATGCCAATTTTAGCCACAAGGCTAGTTTTGCAAATATGGCCCCTTCATAATTCCGTGCGAACTTTGAGGCCGGGGCAGGCTTATTTTGTGACAGCTCTCAACTTCGCCCATTCGATTACGAGGATAGCCCTTCGACAATGAGAAAAATATTCTAAGGCTATCCCGGTAAGAATGGCTCACAACATCATCGACACTGAATTGACTTATTTTGACTGACTGCATTTATTTGACTCCCTCGCTTTTTTTTTTCTCTTTTTTTTCAAAATAAGGCCGGACCTTATGTAGGTTGCCTACGTATCCCATGTCCGATGGGAATCAGACCCGCGTAGTTCGGCTAATTTTTTTTTAAAAAAAAAAATTCGGCAGAGTTTTGGGGTATTTTTCCAGCACTGGTTTTTTTTTTAAAACCGGGTTTTCTTCTTTTACGTCACTCTTGGTCTTTCTCCTCTTTTTTTTTTCTCTTCTTATTCTTGATTTTCCCCACTCTTCTTTTTATTTAGCCAGTCAGCACGTAGCAAAACAAATGAATGTTCACATAATACGTAGGATGCATCATGATGGCCTGTTATTTTGGGGTACACCTGTCCTAGACGGACCCAACCCCTGTGTTGAGTCCCCTAAGTCAAAGATGCACGTGATGCAGATAAGCGCTCCTACTAGGGATCAGGCATGAGGCTGTGTTTTTCTAAGTTTCAAACACCTGGGGTTTTGGTCTAGACTTGGGGTACCCGAGCGGACAACTGGGGCCGAGGAGGGGGCGACGTACCGGGAGCACTGAAGTCTGCCCGGCCTTGTCGCTTGCCCAGCCTCACTCTATTTGGTATATTTTTCTAGAAAAAGTGGGCTACGCGAACGTATGCACCATTTTATTAAAGAAATGCAAAGGGTGGCGCAAAAAGACAATTATATACAATTCAACAATATTAAAGCGGTAAACAGATAGCAGTTGGCACAAAGGTTCACGAAATACAACAAATATCAATAAAAATAGGCCAAGTAAAAATCATGAAATATGTTCGAATTCTTGAACCCTGAACCAGAGATTCTGGGTTCGATCCCCAGCAGAGTCGCCAGAGTTGTCACACCTCCTTTTTTCCTACTATACCCCCGAAAGAGGGTATAGGTAAAGGGAGTTATTTCCAACTTGAAGTGACAGTCGAAACGGGATTATTTAATTAAAAATCAGAGTCGCCACTTGGGAGATTTATGGTGTCCCAAGTCACCGGTTTTAATCCCGAATCGAGGAAAAGAATGACTCTGTATACAGTCTGCGAATCAGAAATCCGGGTAAGGAATTTTGTTAACCCGGGAGAAGGTGTTAGGCATTCCCGAGTTCCGTGGTTCGAGCACGGTCGCTTTGATCCTACTTGGCTTATGAAATTATCTAATTACTGATTTTAGAACCTATGTGCGTTTACTTCTTTCACCGCTTTTAATTTGAAAATTATCTTGAGACGGGTTACGCGTACGTATACCCGCCCGTTTGATGCGTCAAATATCATGTCACGCGAACGTGTCCACAATCAATGACGCTTAATTATTATTAAGAAAAGTTTGGGCCGAAGTTGCGCGAACGCATACTCCGGTTTTGTTTTTAGAAGTGTAGTTGTGTTACGCGGACGTATACGCAACCACACTTGGTATTTTCAAACGGCCTTAAAGGATATTCTATGAAATATTATTTTTATCTAGCCTACAAAATTACTAAAAAGCCATATGTGATTTTGATGAACTTACATGAACTAAAAAAAAATTTAAAAGCTTGTAACCTATTTTATTATTAAGAAAAGATTGAGCGAAGTTGCGCGAACGCATACTCCGAATTAATTTAGGATCATGGTCATGTTACGCGAATGTATACGCAACCACAATCATGTTTTAATCGGCCCTAAAGGCTTTACGAATATTAATCATTTTTTAATATCTAGGTTATAAAGTTAATACGAGGGCCATTCTATATGCTAATGGTCATTAGGGCACGCCTTGGTTTCAGTCCGGAAAGTCTAATTAAAGGGGGGAAATTACCAAAAGCTTTTGGGCCAAAATCGAACTACTTTTAAAGGGTGAG